AAGGTTGCTTGCGAACTCAATTATTTCCTCTTGGATTACTTGCGAACTCAAGTATTTCCTATCAAATTCCCTTTGTTGTTAGAATGGTAAATCAGTTCATGCATACTCCCAATGAGGAGCACATGAATGTTGTGATAGGAAACACTTGGATTTCCAAGTGTTTCTCACCAAAATCAAATAGATCCAAGATGAAAACTGCTGTCCACAGCAGTAAAACAGCAAAAAACAATAGAAAACAGGGGAAATCTGAGAGAAAAATGAAGAAACAACTTGTATTTTACTAGTAGACGCAAGGAAAATAGCAAAGATACAAGGATCCTCTATTCAAGAGGAGGATCGCACTCTCCCAATCTCTAGATTTCGACCTAGAGCCCTCACTATCCAAGAAGACAAAAGAAATTCTCACCAAAACATGACATAACCCTAATTCCTCTCTTTCTCCCTACTTAATGCGTTCTAATTCAAAACAAAAGCAAAACGACCTCTCTACCCTTCCTTCTCCCTCCAAAAATACTTCAATTTTGTTTGAATTCCAAGTGGACCCCACTCCCGAGCTCCCCATCGCTTCCGCCCGTCCGCTGTCTCGCGATCGCTGGCTGTCCCGCGACTTTTTGTCGCCTGGAGAAGATCCGGACCGGCTTGGCCGGTCCAGGTTGGGCCGGTCCAGGTTGGACCGGCCTAACATTACCCCCCTCCCAAAGTACCACCTTGTCCTCAAGGTGGAAAGCAGGAAACTGCTCTGCAATCCTCTCCTGTGGCTCCCAGGTGGCCTCATAGTCTGGGAGGCCGCTCCCCATTATTGCTAGGGTTGCTTGCGAACTCAATTATTTCCTCTTGGATTACTTGCGAACTCAAGTATTTCCTATCACATTCCCTTTGTTGTTAGAATGGTAAATCAGTTCATGCATACTCCCAATGAGGAACACATGAATGTTGTTACAAGGATATTCAAATATATAAAAAAACTAGGAAGGCTATTCTTTAAGAAATGGGAATCCATAATTATAAAAACCTATAATGATACTGATTGGGAAAGTTCAACAATTTACAGAAGATCTTCATCAAGATATTGTACTTATGCTTGGAAAATCTTGTATGATGTTTACAAAATAACTTGAGAATTAAAAGGAAAATAACAAACGTTATTCATCATCTACTATACTTAAAGCATTCCCTAAAGGAAATTAGTGTTGACATATGCTTGTATAGTAGGCGGACACTACCTAGATGTCATTTCCTACATGTGATTGGTCCGGGCATTCTCTCCCTGGAAGGAATTTTTGCAGGCGAAGGCAACGTACAGCAGGTGACCACTCCCTGGATAGTAATTCCTGTTGATTTTCACTCTTGACAGCTTGCGATATGGGTTTGTATCAAAAGCTATTGATGTGGTGCAAATGGGTGGCTGATTTCTAGGAATTCTACCAATTATAATTAGTGCTTTTTAAATTAAAAATCTGTTCTAATATTTAGATTTCTAGGATATGTTTATTTCTTGATTTTCACCTTTGTGAAACTCTATTTAAAGGGACATATTTCAGTCAATGTAATCCATGGAGTATCCCACTTCTTTGTCCATCTTTTTCTCTCCTACTTCTCTCTTTCATTATATGAATGATTAATAACAAATTAAATTATAATTATGAATCAAGAAAGCAATCGATTCATTAAATAACCTTATTATGATTTCTAGCCATGTACTATGGAAGTGAAATAAATAACATAAAACTAAGTATTTTAATTGGTAAAAACCCCAGCATAATTACCACTCACCACCTTAATCATTGCACTGTTATTTGACGTAAGTTGATATACTAAAACAATTCATTTAACGTCAATCTAATTATATTATTATATGCTAATAACTACAATATCGGAATCATAAATACAAATCCAAATCTATAATATTAGAAACATGCTGACTGGCAAACAGATTTTAGAAAATTAAAATAAATTATTTACACCAAACTAGATTCCATGATTAAAATGTTGATTGCAGAAAATCAGAGAATCAAGTAGGGGAAGCAAAGATTAATCTCCATCACATTAACAAATTTTTTTATCTACACACAAAATTAGATTTATAAAACAGAGAAAATGACAACAAAATTTTTCGTGAAACAACAGAAGAGAATAACCACGAGTTGATCAAATGAATAACTTTAACTATTTAAATACATAAACTTTTTCTGCTACCCAATTTGTTCTCAAGACAATAGTTGTGGAATTCAGTTGCACTTAGCGTTGCTAATGGTAACAACAATGGCGAGTTTCAACCATTCAAAAGGGAAATTACTCTAAATCCTAATCATTCCATGGTTTAAAAGATCATTCAAGGAGCACGCCTCGAACTGAACACCTCAAGGCTTAAGCCTTACTAGTGCCGGTGAGGCTTACGCCTTTTTTTAATAAGGCATAAACCTCGAGGCGTTATGAGGCAGCGCCTCATTCAAGTTAAGTTTTATAATTTTTTTATTATATATAATGATACATTTTTTTTATTATATTATACAAAGAGAATGAACCTCTTAGTTATAGGATCAATGAACAATGTTGAACGGTTGTGTTATGTTTAATAAAAATTTGAAAGATAAACACTTCAAATTATAGAGGCTAATAATTGGTGAAAATGAAATAAATCATTTGATTGTTACTGATATATTATCTAATGATAAATGGATAATAGCAACAAATAATAAAAGATTTAAAATTGAAATTGGAGAAATGCATTCAATGAAAAGAATGAAGATATCAATTCTAATATTAAAATGACTAATGAATTGCTAATAACTTCTACTTTATAATTAATTTAAAGAAAGTAACAAGGTATAGTTCAAGCTTAAAAAAAATATCAAATGGTGATTAAAATATAATGACTTACTTTTTTGTGTAATTAAATTGTTGTTTTATTTTATAATGCATTGAATCTAATGTCATTTAATATGGAGAGTTAAAAATATGTTATAATTGAAGACGGTTTTGATGATTTGAGTCAGAATTCAAGGATGATATAATTATTGCATATGAGAGATATTATAAAGAATATGAAAGTAAGAATGAGGTTGCCGTGAATCCTAATTTGTATGGTGTATTTATGTTTTAAATGAGTATTTACTTTGAATCACATTTCAAATATTTATTGAACAAGGAATAAATAAATTTCAAATATTTATTGAACAAGAAATAAATTTATTTAAACTTGACTCTTGAGGTTCATCTCATGAGTTGAGATCAATTCTTGCATAATGTATCATGATGATGGGCTGTATCAGCTTCTGGGCCCATTGTATGATAGAAGTATACTGTGATTGTGTTAGCTATGTGAGGGTTAATTGATTTCAGAAGCCGATACACTATACTTCTATCAAGAACCAAATATGCAACCACACTATATATATCAAGTAGTTTTATAATAGAACTAAATATGCACTAAATATGCATGTGATTTCTAGATATCAAGTAGTGTTATATTTGAATTGAACTAAATATGCACTATATTTGATTTGCTTAACATACTAAGAATAATTATATCTTAATTTACGTCATTGTTGATTATCGATATTCATGTGATTTATTATGAACCTTAACTAATTGGGTATTGATATCCTCATTTAATTTATTTTACAACTTCCATTTTATGATTTAGCCTTCTGTTGTCTTTATTTATTTCAGATTGATTAAGTTGCATAAGCAGTGATTGTGGTTCATGTAGTAAATTTACTATGAATGTGTGAGCATGTGTTATTTAAGATCTCCATTATGTTATTTGTAGTAGTTATAATAAAATTCATTATTAGGAACTTGTAGTATTAGTTCTTCATATTCATATTATTTAATTGTTTGATATTTGCAGAAGTCAGCCAAATTCCTTAGGGCTGTTTGTGGGCCATGATAGTGGAGAAGAGAGCTTGAGGCGGTTGAACGGAACACCCCCTTGTCTGCTATCAAAGGCGAGGCTAGTTGTTCCTGATGTGCAGCTTTTCATGAGAAAGAAATCAGTTAGGTTGAGTCATCCAGCTTGGGGCCTATTCAGAGTCTTCCAAGCATCAATTTGGGCATTTTAGGTGTTTGTTGACTTAGTTTGCTACACTACATCAAAAGCGTAGGAGTTTCCCTGTTGTTTTGAGATTTTTCTGATCTATGTGACGCAACCAAACAGTGTAAAATTGGACAACAGTTCAGTTTTTCTAAATTACTTTAAGATGCATGACTGCATGTTTTACATCAATTTTTTTGATAAATCAAACAGATATTTGTATTGTCCCAATAAAATCAAAGAATATTACAGCTAAGAAGATAAATAGCATCACATAAATCTGGCTTTGCATATATACCCAATGCCATTTACATGAAGTGATGGGCACCACATAAGGGAATTATGATTTCTTAATAAAATGATTAAGAAATATATGTGGCGGAAATCACATCGCATTAGGAAAACTACACTTGCTAGCTTAGCCAATTTGAGGAATGAATCTTTCCTTTCCGATTAAGGATCAAAGTTGAAATTTTAAACAAGCTAAGATCACCTCAAAATTGTAGATCAAATTTCTAAAATTCAATCTCGTTTCATTAGCTTGGATTTTTCAAGCTTTAAGCATTGAAAATAGAAAGTCAAAAAGGACAGCGTGGGGATGGATTCCCTGGGTCGATCTCTCCATCAGAAATGTGGCTCCGGTAGAAACAAACGAAATGATAAAATATGATAAGAGACAGGGGGAAAAAAGGGGGACAAAAAAGAGGAATAAAATACCTCCAACTACAGAGCTCTTCGCCTGCCTGCGAGTCTAAGGGGCTGTTTGGTATCGGATTTATTCCCGGATTTACTTCGGATTTACGCTAAATCCAGCCAAACGGTTTTTGTGCGCTCGTTAAATCCCGGGATTCCGTAAATCCCGGATTTAGGGATTTACGGCTTAAATCCCGGATTTACTAAATCCCTCTGTTCGGCGGATTTAACGGGATTTAGCCGAAGAAGCGCGCGAAAGGGAGAAAGTTACCTTCACAGCCAGCGAGGTCCCGTTCTTGCTTCCGATCAAAATGTCGAAATTTCCTATCCGACAGGAAGGGAAAGACGTCGAAGGAGCGAAGTTAAACAGTCACGAAGGAAACGAAGAAGCGACGACGCATGCAGTCTCTAGACTCTCTACACATGCGAAGCAACGAAGCCTAACAGCAACGACTACAAGAGAAGATGAAAGGCAAACCTAGACGCCTCTAAGTTATTATTGATTAACTTAATTAATATATTTTAAAATATTAATAAATAAGTAAAATAATTAAATAATTAATTGCATAATTAGTGCATAAATTTATTATCTAATTTAACTTAATTGTATAATTAGTAATTAAATATTAATAGAATTAGCTTAATTAATATAACTTAATATGCATGTATTATTAAATATTTAATTAATAGTGTAAATAATAATTAATGAGTAATTTGCACTTAATATGTTATTAAATTTATAACACATTAATTTTTATTTTTAATTATAAATTTATTCTTCACATTTAAATCCCTAACTGCTATAAATAATGTAATATGTTACCAAACAGTTTCTAAGGATTTAACATGATTTAACATTTGACATACCAAATAGTTTTCAGGATTTAACACATTTCGGATTTACTAAATCCGGATTTATAGGATTTACTAAATCCCACTAAAGTTAAATCCCACTTGTTGCCAAACAGCCCCTAAGAATCCTGAAGCTACCTAAGAACCATCACAAGACCATCGTCAAATCGTCATCAGACCATTGCCTGACCACCACCATCAAAACACCACATAGCCACCACCATTGGAGCTCCACCTAACCTTCATTATTAGATCATTGCCTGATCGCCTAAGATGATGTTTGGGTTTGCTTAATTTCACACAATCATAGTACAAGTCTCATCGTCCATATAAATTTTCAAAATTCTTTATCTTTCACTCTCTTTTGCATCTCCTTTACCATATTTAGGGGATACTTAGGATTTGTGTAACATCTTTGACATCTTCTCTACCATATTTAAAATATATATAGGCTTTCTTAGTCACACATAACCAAGTTGTAAGTTCCATTTTGATATTTTTTTTCAACCACATTAAGGAGATGTCCACGTTTGCTCGATCCCACACAATTGAGTTGGATGTCTCACTACTTTGATGTCTTCTTTTCCATATTGAGAAAATATCTGTATTTGCCAGGTATTCTCTATCACATTGAGATGTTCGAATTTTTTATATCCATTAAATCTTCTCTACCACATTAATAAAATATTTGAGTATTCTAGGTCTTGCAGGATTGAGTAATAAGCTCTATTTTAGCTATCATATATGCCTCATGGAGAAGATAGCCTCCATTCCTTCCTATTAGACTTAAAGTCCGCTGAGCTTTGTCAGTCTTGGTAGGTACCACCATGTCTTACTATAAGTATAGTTTGGGCTTCTCCCTGATATGATAATTAACTGTATTTCTAGTGTGTTATCTTAGGATTAGGTCCACTCCCTTGGTCTATGAAGTCTTGGTAGGATTCTTAACGCACCACATGATAAAGTAGACTATGGGCACCAATGAACCCTAAACAATTGAACCATGGGATCTTAACCAAGGGCATCATACCCACTTAAATAAATTAGTCTTCACTTTTTTACCATTCTATCATTCTAATTTTTACCTTATTAGAACTATTGTAATGATGTCAGATTTGAACAAAAGTATTAACTCCTTAATCGAGAGTATTCTTGGGCACATATGAGACATAACTAATCTTAGGAGTTTACTCATTTAAGAAACATTAACCCCCATTATAAAATATACCATATTTGTTATCACATTTTTTGTAAGAGAAATCTCATTGATATCGATATACTTGTCTTATGTTGATTATTGCATGCCTATAAAATGTATTAATTAACTTAGAGTAAGAGTGAGCTGAGTCAAATCAAGATTGACTCATTAACGAGCACTAGTTCATCTTATTGTGCCACGTGTTTGAGCTCAAGCCTATACTCAATATCATATATTAAACGAGCTTGAGTTTGAGCTCAACCCGTTTAAGCTCAAAAGCGAACAAATCTATTCAATTAACTTAAAATATATTTAAAGAATAATTTAAATTAGGATTATATAATATAATTTAATTTTTAAATTAATTCTATATTTAAATAAAATTTTAAAAAATAAAAAATAAAAAAATAATTTAAAACTAAAAAATTGAGCTCAACAATTAAATTAAGCTCAAGCTTGAGCTCGGGTAATCAAGTCGAGCTTTAGCTTAGTAAATGAGCTCTAGCTTGAGCTTTGTAAGAACTAAATAAGCTTAGCTCGATTAGGCTTATATTTGACATGATTAGTTTACACCCCTATAATTAACTACAAATAATCATTTATTGTAATATCACAGTCATCTCTTGAAGCCCACGCTACGAATGTCGAAACACTCTCTACCACAATAGTCACACCACCACTTGACTATCACTGTCAAAATATAGTATGATTGTAGCCATCAGACCACAACCCAAAAACTATTTTTATAACACCCTTCAACCTTTTACCAACATCGCATGATTAAAGCTCTCTGAATTTACATTTTGACTGCAATCCTCCAATCACCATCACTCGACAACAGTCAACTAACAATTATTGCTCGACTATGATCCTCCAACCACCAACGCTTGACTACGGGCCTCTAACTTACATTACCTGACTCAGTCCTCCAGTCTTCATCACCTAATTGTGGTCTTTTATCATTGTCGTCAAACTATGGTCCTTCAAACACCATCACCCTTATACGACCCTTTGAGCTTCATTTCTTGATTACAATACTCTAAACTTCATGTCCAATTATGGTCCCCTAACCACAATCACTCTATTATAATCCTTTGTCTTGCAATCTTCTAACCATTGTCACAAAGCTACACTGATGTCCACTGACTTCAAAACCTACCCTCTGTAATAATGTTAACTCGTGTCATTGTTTATAGGATCGATGCATGCCATCGATACAAATTTTATCTACCAATATTAGTACATAAATATATGACGGATTTTGTGGTCTCTACTCCTCTTCTAAATGGAGTATGATCAAGTGAACAAGCAAACAATATCTTAAAGATCATGAAAATAAGTGAAATCATTTAAATGAGTTATGCCTTAATGATTTTTTTCTTTTTTTGTTGATAGCTCAGTGATGTTAATTCTCCATGCATGGTTGTAGCGGAGCAATCCCTTTACTGTTAATCACTGCATTATATATGAAAGAGAATGTTGAGAATGGCCTAAGAATAGGCAAATCATCATCTTTAATTGAAGATACATGTGGTATTCATCCTCTCCCAATTAAAGTACAATTCATCCTAGGGCACTTGCTTGTATTACCAGCGGTTGACCAGTTATCGACTCATGTATGCCCATTTTCTAGCATAAGTAGTCTAAATTAGACAATTTGGGGTCCTTTTAATTATTGTTTGACATTCTTATTTAAGTAATCAAATAAATTTAGATATTGTTTTTAAATGTTGGACTTTTTAATAAATAAGTATGAATAACTATGTATTTGGATTGCTTATATTCATGAACAATATTAGGGGTGTCAAATCGGGTCAGCGGGTCGGATTCGGGTGAACCCGAATTGACCAGATTTTATACGACTCAACCCGAGCCCGACCCGTTTTTGTAAACGGGTCGGCTTTTTCAACCCGTACCCGACCCGCACGGGTTGTCGGTTTGACACGACCCGACCCGGATTTTGAAATACTCCCCGGCGCAACTGCAGCGGGGGCAGCGGAGCAGTGGAAGCACGCGTCGCAGGCGGACTAGCGGGAGCAGCGGCAGCACTCGTCGCTGCTTCGTGTTCGCCGCTTCAGGACGCGCACGCGCGGCACTCGTTCGCGCTTCAGGTTCCTCGCTTCGGGACGCGCATGCGCGGCACGCGTTCGCACTTCGCCAGTTCTCCGGTTCGTGACGCGCACCACTCATGCTTAAGGCGTCGACGCAACTTGAACTGAACCCGGGCAGGGCGGGCAGCAGACCGGGCAGATAATTTTCGGGTCAATTTTAGGTTGCCGGTTCAACCCGAACCCAACCCGTTTTTCGAAACGGGTCATTTTGTTGAACACGAACCCGACCCGTTTCACATACGGGTCGACCCGAACCCGGATTTTTTCAGGTCAGGTTCGGGTCGGGTCAAAAATTGACACCCCTAAACAATATCATTTGAAGTTCATGAGCATACTTGATATGAAGCTCAATAAAAAATATGTTAGGAGCTCGTTAAGAAGCTCATTATAAATCTCGTTAAGAAGCTCGATTATTGTTCAATCTAACCTTCACAAAAATTTGCTGAATTTTTTATATAAATATTCATTATTTCTTATTAAAAAATGATGATATAGATATTTTATGTTTATTATAATTATGAAGCAAATCAAATGGAAAATCGAACACAAACTAAATTTGAACACCTCCATTTTAAATGAACAAGGTTTGAGCACAAACAAAAAAATTCTAATCGAGCTCGAGCAAGCTCTTAATAAACTAACTCAAATATGAACATAAGATATATTTTGAGAATATTTTGAGTAAATTAAGCTCTTAATAAACTAACTCAAATATTAGCTTAGCTTGTTTGTGTTATAACTCAAAAAAGAAAAAAAAACTAACCTATAATAGTTAAAAATTATTTTATGAGTAATTATAAGTCCAAATTACAAACTATCTTCACCATAATCACAAAATGTCTTCACTAATTTTTTTATAATTTTTTGGCATTGATGCAATTTCTTAAAAAATTGGCATGCAATTTCATAAGAAATTGACATATGCTAGTACAAGTGGAGTTTTTTGGACCGTTAGATGCCCGTTTTGTCAATCAATTTCACTAGAGCATTTTACACATGCTTAACTAACTTTTGAATATTTTTTCATAATTTTTGGATATCCATATTTGAAGATATAAAGGGATTTATAAGATTTTTGCATTTAAATACATAATTATCATTTTACCCTAAATATATCTTATTATAAAATATCTCCTTCCACCCACATAATTTCACTTGAGAAAATGTGACGAAAAGAGTAATGAAAAAGAAAATGTGACGAAAAGAAAAGCGAAGGAGAAAAAAAGCTGTGTTTTGGAGGAGAAATTATTGTGTACGCAATCCGAATGCAGAATTGTGTTCGGATGCTACGTATTTACTGCTTATTTCACTGCCTATTTTGGATACATTATGTTTTCTACGTATTTTTTTGCGTATTTTTTGTGTATTTAGTGAGTATTATTTATTTGCTACTTATTTTCCACGAAAAAATCATGTATCAAAAAATACGCAACAAAATAAGCAGTGTGTACGCAGCATCCGAATCGTTCGGATTGCGTACACAATAATTTCTCGTTTTGGAGGCTGTAAAGTTGTTTTTGGGTGGCAACCTAGTTGGGAAATTTGCTTGTCTCAAGATAAGTTAATTTTAGATTATTTCTAATAATTTAATATTTTTTTAGATTTTTATGATCAAATTTATATTTTCGTTGTCGAAAAATGAAGATAATTTTGTATTGGTAAGACTTTTAACGCATAACTTCTTATATTTTATATAGATTGAGATAATAAATATTTTGAGTATATTTCAAAAAACTTTTATGAAGTTGTTTTAAAAAAAATATGTTTTTTTTCATTCACAAATTTATTTTAAAATTTAAAAATAGTATTTTAGTTCAATTAAAGTTTCAAAATGTTGTTATACAAATTTTATATTAATCTGATTATATTTTGAAATAGTAAATTAGTATTATATTTGTTGCCTACCAATAAGGCATTTAGGCAATATTTTAATTTTTTAAATTATGTATTAATTAATGAAATGCATAAAAAATATAAAATAATTATGATATAATGTTATGCTAGTTCTAGTTGACAACGGAGGTGATATTCCATCCACTACCAAAAAATAGTTTATCGCAGCACAATTTTTGGCATATCCTGACGGTTATAGCCGCCACAACTTTCTTTGTAGCGGTTTTAAAACTATTGCACCCCGCTGTAAATGCAATGCGCTGCAATGTCATTCTGCAGTTGTTTAAAGACCGGCAGAGTAGATCTTATGAAGTGACGGATTTAGCAACTGTTATAACTGCCATAAATGTCTAGATTTGCAGCGGTTATAACTGAAAGTTCGTTCGGGATGTTAGGCCCTCTACAAACTGACACAGGCCTAGTCTACCCAATCTTGAGCTGGTTCCAGATTGCAGTCTGAAAGTGTGGACCTGAAACGTTAGTAGAAAGCCGTCATAGAGAAAAAGAATGTTTGCTATCATCAAAATCATAAGCCATAGATCCGCAACAATAACTGTCACAAATTCTATCCATATGAACTAATTTTTAGTGTTGTAGTGATTTTAACGGCTGCAAATTTGGATGTTTGTGGTGGTTATAACAGCCAAAAATGTCCAGGATTCAAAAGAAAAAATACAAATTCTAAATGTCCAATGCAATATCATATACACATAAGCAACATATCAAAGCGATAATGTTATATGAATTTGACATATTAATGCATCCAACTCTACCCATTCATAACCAAAAAGAACAGTGTATTTTTCAAAGGTAAAAAGAAGAATGAGAGACCAATAATAAGCATAATTACAAATGAACTTTACTACTTGTTGTCCAAAATCACATAGAAGTAATTAAGGATATAAAAATAATTAAAATAATGTTGTTGAGGTGGTGAAATAGAAAAAAATGGAGAATAATCAAAATTATTATCAATGTCATAATTACATGCTTAACACAATACAAATTCCATCGAACAATACTGAGATGAAGGTATTTTAAAGATAAATGAAAAATACATAATGCACTTTAGTAATAGTTGATCCCAAGTGGCAATGAGCCCCAACAAGTTTGAGTTCATTTGGATAAGATTTCATAGTGTCTATGAACCAATGCAACTTCTCATTTATGATGCCAAACTTGGAATTCTTGTTGCCTATTGCTACATAAGGATGCACCTAATGACGACGAAAGAAAATAAGAAATCCAGTTTTACCAAAAAAAAACTGTTGAATCATTCAACCAAAAGGACAAATTCTGATTATCACTCAAGAAAAATGGTTTGTACAAAGGTTTTCAAACAATACAAGATTATAATTCAAAAAAATAGTTGAGGCCATTCAAAAGCATCTTCATAACACTGACATAACCCAACAATTTAACAATTTTTGCATCTAATAAATAAGTACTTTCAAACAAAAACAGTCGACCTGTGCCACAAAAAAATCTAAGACATTCACTACACAGAAACAAAAGCCTCACATAAATAAGAGATGTAGATGAAACAAAAACTCCACTTAAATCATAGAGATTCACAACAAATTATTAGAAGACCACATGTTGCATTAGAGGATTAGTTCGAGGGAGGAGTAACTGATGAAGATGATGTTTGTTTCCTTATAATTGAACTGGATCTAATTAACTACCCGAAGTTGAAAGAGTTGCCCCATTAGCCTCCTAAGCTCAAGAGCTTGAAGATAATTATGAGGTGGAAGACTTGGAATTTTTGTAGCATTTCAAATTCTATTCCCCTTGAAATATTAGAGGTGTCTCGCTACCAAAACATCGCAACTCTTCCTCTAGCTGATGAAATAGCAAGCTCGCAGCACTAAGATACTTGTAAATTAAAAATTGCCCCAATCTGATATCTCTCGGAAGACATGCAGCAAAAGAAGCACAATCATAACTATTAACCAGCTTGTAAAACTTGAGTAGATAAGAATGCATGCCTATAGAACAAATGCGGATGATGACAAAGAAAGAGTAGCTCCAATAAGGCAATAACTATAGCTTCATCAACACTTCTAAAGTTCACCTGTATCAAAAAATTTCAACTACATGGGATTTTTGGTGGTTAAGAATTTCACTTTTGTAAATTTCAGACATATGGGCCCTCAACGAAATATAATTTCAAACCATCAAGATCACCTTTTATGAGGATTTGGTGAAAGCTCAGACCCTCAATGTACTCCCTCCTCCTCTTGAGGAGGTCGCCGATCATGTTCGCCCACCGCACTTCTTCCTCATGGTTCCCATCCCGAACCGCCTCTTTGTACCCCAGCTTCGCTACTTTGATATGCTCATCTTCTCTTCCCATGCATTTTTTTCCTTGTAGGTTTCAGGTTGGATTAGGCATCGGGACGACAGGATTCAACATGATGGGATGATTCGGCATCAAAATGGTAGGATTCAGCGTAAATTGCTGTGTAGAAACAACTACGTCACTAAGGTTGCAGAAAGTTATTTTTCACCATAGAAACTTCTTAAAAATAATAGAAAATAGCAAGAAACCATCTAAATGAAATTGTGGCCGCTGTCTTAAAAAAAAAACAGCCAAAAAGTTGTTCGAAACATGCCTTTAATTAGCTTTAGTAGCGAGTCCTTTAGATTTCACCATTTGAAATTATTGCATATCTAGATTAATATAATAACAGCAATAAGTTCGAAGGAAATTAAGCATTTCATGCGAAGTAACATAACAATATATATTAAAGTAAACTTGCTAAATTGACGAAATGTTGATTATTCAAGTGGACTTGGCAAAAAATCCACTTCATAGCTCAAGTTCTAGTCTTGAAAAAAAAGGCATTTGATAATGAGTTGGAAAATATGGGAAAAAGAATGATAATTATAATTTAGGTAATAAATAAATATTTACAAAATACAAAATATTGAGAGAAAAAAAAATAGAGTTTGTTTGGGAAGAGTAACAAAAATAAATAAATAAATAACTACCATGCTCTTTCTGACCTAAGGACGGTCACCCTTCTATAAAGCCTAATACAAAATTAGAACCACTGTCTCTACTGGATGATCCCTCAAAAAAGTTATGAATTGAAATATTCCTCGAACTTCTTGTAGATCTGATTGAACTCTCAGATCAAGTCTCAGAATGTCAATCAAGCCCTACATTTGGACACTCAACTATCATGTGTCTAACATACCCGCACCTAAAATACTATCTCGACATCCTGTAGCATTGAGCAAAGTGTAGTCTACCATAAATCTAGCACATAAGTGCCCCTTTGCCTATGCTAGGAATTGATATAAATGGTCCACCTCTCCAAGACTCTCCAGGTTCAATTTTACTCGGAACATTAATATGGGAATAATATGGGAAAAAGGATGATAATTACAATTTACGAAATAAATAAATATTTACAAAATATTGAGAGAAAAAAAAATCGAGTTTGTTTGGAAAGAGTAACAAAAATAAATAAATAAATAACTGCCATGCTCTTTTGACATAAGGATGGTCACCCTACTATAAAGCCTGATACAGAATTAGAACCACTACCTTTACTGGATGATCCCTCAAAAAAATTATGAATTGAAATCTTCCTCGAACTTCTTGTAGATCAGATTGAACTCTCAGATCAAGGCTCAGAATGTCAGTCAAACCCTACATTTGGACACTCAACTATCATGTGTCTAACATGCCCGCACCTAAAATGCTATCTTGACATCCTGTAGCATTGACCAAAGTGTTGTTTATCATAAATCTAACACATAAGTGCTCCACTGCCTCTGCTAGGAATTGATATAAATGATCCACCTCTCCAAGACTCTCCAGGATCAAATCTACTCTGAACATTAATATGGAAATAATATGGGGAAAGAATGATAATTAGAATTTACGTAATAAATAAAATTTATTTACAAAATATTGAGAGGAAAAAAAATCGAGTTTGTTTGGGAAGAGTATAAAAATAAGTAAATAAATGATATTTTATGTAATAAATAATATTTACAAAATTATAATTACAATGGTAAAATTTGAAAGGTAAAAGAAATTTATTTAAAAACTCATGATTGTACGTTAGTATTCCTTGAATCCTAGAGAATGTAAAAATGATTTGCATTTTCAATAGAAAATGCCAAAATTTTTGTTTTCTCAGTAGAATGGATATTAATTTTGCATTTTCTATCAAAAAATATAATTTTTTTGCATTTTCTATTGAAAATTAAAAATACTAATTTATTTTGTATTTTTTGAAAATGTAAAATGATTTTAAATATTCAATAAAAAGGTAAAATTATTTTACATTTACTCTCTTACATAAGTTATATTTAAATTATGCAGTGTTTACTTAATTTGCTTTAACAGTCGCTCATTTTTAAAATTTCTCCGTATCAAGCTAGTTTCTAAAAATAAATCAATATTCTACAAACATTAAAATCAATTCAAATGATATTTTAAAATACTCAAATAAGAAATAGTGAAAAAAAAGTTTACACTAAAAATGAATGTAACAAGATTTCAAGAGCATAATGTTAGGTGCTAGAAAATTTGCGACAATAGAAAAAAATGTAGATGTTAGAAATTTTCTTTATGTGTTGCGTGCTAGAATTAATATACGCGGTGGTAGAGTTTATGAATTCACATCCGAGCGTTGCACGAATATTTAACACACAAACAGAAAAGAGAAATGAACACTAAGATTTTTACGTGGAAAACCCGAAAGAGGGAAAAAACCAGGGGGTCTCGCCCAGTTGTAAAGTTCCACTAGTGTTTGTTTGAAGTACAAAGGTTGATTCGTCTTACAAATCAAGACGATCAGTTTAGAATCAACTTCTCACAAAGTTACAAAGTTCTTCAAATTCCTGGCATTTCCTGAAAATCCGGCAGAGTTCCGGCGTCTTCAGGCGGTGGGAAGAGCTCCGGCGGTGATCGAGAAGGAGCTTCTTCCTTCTCTTCCTTCTTCTCTCATTCTTCTCTCTCTCTTCACTTGAGTTCTCTTTGTGAAGAATGAGAGCTCTATTTATAGTTTTTCTGGAGTGGCATGACTCGTAAATAGGTGTGAGATCATGGGCGAATAGGGAGTGGTTTGAATGGACGGCCGATATTGAACCCTTCGATTGTGTACCGTTCGTTGGACATTTGGAGGCTTTAATGATGTCGGAATTCGGAGATCTTGGGTTTGTTGGATTCGTCTCATCGAGCCGCTCGATTCAAGTATAAACTCGTTAAATCGGAGACCGTTTGGTAACTCAAATTGTGGTTTGAACCTTTCAATAGCGCTTCGGGTCCTTGATTTGGACCCATTTGGGCTCGGATTGGGTTGAATTTGGTGGCGTTGGGTTCGTATTTCCGAGACGCTCAGTTTGACTATAAGATCGCTGAAATCGGAGTTCGAATGCTCTTGATTTTATTTTTTGAAGTTTCCGTTTATATTTTGCCTCGAGATTCGTGCTTGATCAAGATAATTATGTGAGAATACATCAATGTGAAAAATCTGAAAGGGCCAAAATCATAGGGTCGGATTTAGCTGCAATAATCTACTATAAAACGGGAGATACAAAAATCCTCTATTCCTCATAATTAAAGAAGCAGGAATGTTCATGTACAGAATAATTGACTGATTCCCATTATGGGCATTACAGGATTCACATGTCTACAAACAAACAACTAAAAACCCAACATTAGAATTTGATCTTGAAAGGAGTCTGAATACGGTGGTGGCAATTGCTGGTGGTGTTGATCGACAGGAAATGTAAGAGAGTTCTTAGTTTATTCTAATCTTCCATCATTCTCTCTTTTTAGATAATTAAGCCTTATTTAGAGCCTATTTTATGGTCATTTTGATAAATTTTGCTAGAATTCAAAACTTCTATTGTACAATCCATATTGATCCCTTTAACCATATATTATTGATTAAACATTTGAATGCCTTAATGATATTAGAATTGGGTGAATGTGGATTAAATTTGTCCTATCGAGCCACTTGATTTGATTATAAGCATGCCATAATTGGAAGTCATTCTGTTCATCAATTTATGTTCATAAAATTTCAAACATATTTCAAATGCCGGACATAAGTTGATTTGGAGTATAATCTTATCATATGTAATGATCATAAGTTTATCTCGTCGAGACATTCAACTAGACTATAAGTTTGTTAAAATCGGAGTTCAAATGATCATGCATTTAATTCAAAAAAAAAATCAATTTAAATATTGTATCGAGATTTCTACTAATCAAGTGAATTTTTTTATAGTATCATTTGTCCCTTATTTTTGGACGTCAAATCTTATTTCATTTGAAAACATATTTCAAATCTTCATAAACGTTAATGACACAAATTAAAATTTAGAAAGAAAAGAGATATGACCTTTCTCTGAACAGTAGTATGGGCCTCCCATTGGAGCTGTGAACAAAATATAATATTTGTTTTTATAATTTTAGTTCTTTTTATGAAGTTGGTGCATTAATTTGAGCATAATTTATATAAATATTCTGCTTCAAACTCTTCAATTTCGCTTGATTTTTTGTCATGGAGGCGTTGTTGGGCTCTGAAAAGATTGAACTTCAGACCATAATGCCAAAATTGATCCCATGGACCCTAAATTTGCCGGAATAGGCTTTTTGGGCTCAAAATTGGGCCCGAACTGGATTGAGCCAGTTGGCCGGCAAGGGTGGTTGCTCAAGCAGCTAGCGCCTGCCTATTCTTTTTGGTTTGGGCACCTCCCATAATAAGGTTATTTTAGGGCATCTCCAACCGAAAATCTCATTTTTTCACTTCAAAATATAGTGAAATAAAAAAATGTTGTGATTCATCTCCAATCGAACGCCATGTTACCCCGTAAACCGTCGTTCTCTTCTTTCGCGCCTTTCTTCCGAAAGTTTGGTAGCGATAAGAAAATGGTGCAGATGAACAGTGCAATGCCAATATTGGCATCCACTATTCATTCGCGATCAAATGATGTCAAAAATGAAGGTCGGTTGGAGCAAAGTAAGAATGACAAACAAATGTTTGCCGTTCCATTGGAGTTGCCCTTAGAGCCTTATTATAGGTGATATAGCGCTTAATAAAAGGAAGCCTATTGCCGTCGGTTAGAAATTTTTTTTTTTAAGATTGTTTTTCTTTTCTTCTATTTTTTATAATTTTATTTAGAAAATTAATTAATCCCTTTCCCCTTTATGTATAAATATTAGAGGGAAAAAATTTGCCCTATTTCTTCTCTCTGATTCTTCCATTAAAAGAGGCTTTCAATGTCTTGTATAAGAGGTGCCTTCTTCTTAGGCTCTAGTAAAATATTAATTTTAATAGGGGTGTGTATCCCCATTTTAAGCTCTATTACTCATAACAAATTATTCTTTGAGGATGTGAAAAAATCTATAAATTAAAATTTCATTTTTATTGGCACCTCTTATAGATTTTTTTTAAGATATATTTTTTTCATTTCTTCTCTTTTTTTTTTTGGTTTTTTTTTAAATTTTTTTTCTTGAAAATTTAATCCCTTCCCCCTTTCAGGTATAAATATCCCTCAAAGATGGAGTAAACTTGCCCCATTTCTCCCCTTTTATTTTTCCATTAAAAGAGGCTCCCTACTATCTAGTATAGGAGGTGCCTCTCCCTTCTATGGCTCTAGTAAAATATTATTTTTGAGAGGGGGCGTGTATCTCCCTTTCAAGCTTTAGTACTTCTAACAAAATATTCTTCGAGTTGTGAAAAATTTCAGATATATAAAATTTTCCTTTGTTGAGTCTGATTTTGCCTCTTAAAGTGACTTGACATTATCTTGTATATATAGGCGTCCTTTGTTGAGTATGATTTTGCCTCTTAAAAGTGACTCGACATTATCTTGTATAGACGGTGCGGAATCCCAGTTCATAAAATTCTATCAAGGATAGGCACTACATATATATCCCATTAT